GTAGATGGAAGAGTCCTTGTGCTGGGTGGGTGTGGTCCTTTATGATGCTGCGTGCTTTACACAGACATCAGCTGTGGTAGATGTCCTGGATGGTGTGGAGAGTGATGTTCTCTGCTGTTTGCACCACCCTCTGTAGAGCTTTCTGTCTCAGACTGGTGCAGTTCCTGTACCACCCTGTGATGCAGTCAGCAGGCTCTCAATGGTGCGCCTATAAAAGTTAGTGATCATCAATGACTGGAAATTTACTAATTTTCTTCAGGCACTGGTTTTCATCAATTTATGTTTGAGTGGTGATGATGACTTTTGTTTGACTTTTCTGTATGTAATCCCATTTCTTTTAGGTGATTTCATACAGTTCGATCACAGACATTGACTCCAGTTTCTCCCCTCTCGTTTCTCTTCTTTGTTTTGGTGTATTTTCTTTTCAAGACATTTCAATCAGGCAGCACGGTGGCACAACTGGTAGAGCTGTTGCCTCTCAGCGAGCAGGTCCCTGTTTTAAACCCAAGTCCAGGGGCCTTTCTGGGTTGAGTTTGCATGTTCTTTCCGTGCATGCGTGGGTTTTCTCCGGGTACTCCATTTTCCTCCCACAGACCAAAAACATGCATGTTAGGCTGATCGGTAACTCTAAATTGTCCCTAGGTGTGAGTGAGAGAGTGAATGGTTGTTTGTCTCCATGTGTCCCTGTGATGGACTTGTGACCCGTCCAGGGTGTACCCCGCCCCTCGCACAGTGATTGCTGGACATGACCCCGTGACCCAAAATGGAAGAAGCATGTAAAAGATGATGGATGGGCATTTCAATTAAAGTTTTCTATATTTTTTGGTACCATTGTGCTTCACTTTTACATTTCCATTTTATTTGTACTTGGACAGCTGACTGGGAACAACCAACAACTTTTGCAACATTTTACAATGATTTAAATTCTTCATCTGTTTCAGCTGACATGTCTCATGTTGGAGCCATGATCCATGCCAACCCTCTGTGCAGCAGCTCTCCAAGACGCCAACATTCTTTAATGCTCTTTAGTAGATTTGATCTGATGCATGATTGTTTTAGAACAGCAAATTACAGTGATTCCATCATTTTTTCCTCTACTTGATCATAGATTACCATAATTACAGCTTTCTTTTTCATTGTTACATAAAGCCAGAGGGTTGGAGTTTTGAAGAGAAAAAAAAAAGCTGTCGTAATATTTTTAAATACAGCATTACAAAAAAGGTACATAGTACTCCAAGTAGGGTGACTCCAATTTTTTGCCAGGGTTTGTAAAAGCTGGTGGACAACTTGGTTCCAAAAGTCACATGACGTCTCAATTTAAATCTAAAACTTTGCATTTCCTGTGAAAATGCAGTGTGAAAGCTTCTGAAGAACCTGCTGGAAAAACAGCTGAGATTAGCTAAAAACATGCTGAAATGGAAGAACAAGCCTAAAAGGAATAAAGCAGAAAAAACGCATCTTCTGAATTATTCATTCAAACTTTATAGTCTCATTGAGTCATGAGGACTCATTTACAAGAGGGACCTGTTGTTAGGTTTAAATAAACAGACATTAGCAAAAAAAAAAAAAAAAAAAAAAAAGGAAATTACCATAGCTAAAAAAATAAAACAAAATGCTGAAATTAGAAAAAGAAATAGCTGAGAAGCAGCTGCAAAGACAGAAAGCTTACCAGAAGGAAGTGGAACGACCTGAGAAGAGCTCCAAAAATGTGGAATTAGCTGAAAAAGCTAAATTTAGCACAAAACTGCTAAAAAGTAACTGAAATAGCAGAAAAATGCTGAAAGGAGCATAACAAGCTGAAATTAGCAGAAAGAAGTTAATTAGACTGAAAGTACCAGAATTTACCATGAAAAACTTGGAATTTATCTGAAAACAGCTGAAATTAGCCAACAATGAAAAAAAAAAGTAGCTGAAAAGGTAGAACAAGCTTAAATTATCAGAACACAGAAAGAACACAAAGTTCATGCTCAATAATCAGGTAAATCATAAAGAATTGCCCAGTTAGGCTGAAAGAAGCAGAAATGAGCACAAAGAATTTGAAATTATCTGGAAAAAGCCGAAATTAGCAAAAATAAATAAATAAAATAAACAAAACAGCTTAAAAGTAGCTAAAAAAAGCAGAAAGAAGCTTAAATTACCAGAAGTGGGACACTTACTGAATTAGATGAAAAAGCTAATATTAGCATAAAAACAGCTAAATAGCAGCTGAAATAGTTAAAAAAAATTGATACTTGCTGTAATGATAAGCTGCAAGGAGCATAACAAACTGAAATGAGCAGAAATAAGTTTGAAGTACAAAAATGTTGTTACCAAAACCTTAAGAGCACAAAACAGCTGAAATTAGCTGAAAATTGTTTAAATTTGCACAAGGAAGCTGAACAAAATATGAAAGGAGCAGTAAAAAGTTGTAAACAGATCTAATGATTTGAAGGATGTAAAATGAGCTCAATTCATTTTCTGAGGGCAAAAAAATTAATAAATGGCAGAAAAGGCAAAATATTTAAAAAAAAAAAAGCTAAAGTTGCGTGAAAACCAAGACATGGCACCTTTCTCCTGAACGTTTTTTGATTTGTTGAAATGACACAAAAATTGTGGAACGAGAAAGATGACGAAAAGTATACGGAAGAAAAATGGTTCACGACAAAGTGACTGCTTCATAAACATGCACACGTTGACAGATGCAACAAACCAAATAAGTCAATTCCTTTAAATAACTTTTGACCTGCAAGTAAAAACAGTTATAGGATGTAGATTTTATTATTTAGAGTAAAGTTTTGAGAACTTAAATCGTGTTGTTTCATCACACTTTAATAAAAAAAAAAAAAAAAACAAGTCCTTTACAAATTCTTTATTTTAGCATAATAGTAAGAAGCCTCTCCTCTGAATTTCATACAGTTGAAACTAACTGGATCACAAGGGTACATATTAGTAAGCCCATTTTACAATAATCATTGTAACATTGTTTTTAGGAAGTTATTCTTTATGCACTCTTTTCTACACAAAATAATCAATATCAAGATCCTATCTTAACTGAGGACCGTAACTCTGCATGCAAGACTAATAAAGAAAACAACTAATCTGTGATAGCTACTGTTATGCTGTTGTTCATCTAATACCATTATCAATATAATTTACTACAAATACCAGGGACTTTGTATAAGAAAGCAAAACATGTTCCTGTGGTTCTACATCCTAAAATGTCAAAATGACAGAACATACTGGGCTCCCAACAGTACTGATCCAAAACTGTTCTGTTCACCTTCTGGGTCAAATTAAGCAGAAAAAAAAAAAGGCTTTGTCTAAAACCTAAAATCTATTACAGAAAAAAGGAGAAAAAAACTTTTTTTTTTGTCTTTTTCCATTCACTCCAGTGTACAATTTTGTTACAATAATAAAAAAAAGGTCCATGAAATGAAGCAATCATTAAAACGTGATGAGCCCAATCCTTTTCTCTGCAAACAAAATTAAACTCAGACTTATAACACAATGAAAATTTCTATTGCATTTGAACAATAATGATGACACCAAAAAAAAAAAAAAAAAAAAAGACAGGTATTGACAAGAACTACAAACTGTATTGCCCTTTTGTTTTCTGCATGTGCACACACCAGCTGTGACTCTTCCAGATTGGGATTAGCGTTTTCAAAGCTAATTATTGCAGTTCTTAAAACCTGACCCTTTGTCTGCAGCCAAGTTTGAACCGTGATCAAGTCACTTACAGCTGAATCTGTTCCATCACAAGTTTTTACAAATAAAAAATAAAAATCCTGTACAACTCTAGTGTTTAATACAGAACAAACTAAAATACTGTGGCTCTCCAAATTTAGTAACGTTACAAAAACTTTGAATGATAACAGTTGTAGCTTCCGGTACATCAAGCTCCCAATTCAAGCACCGACTCCTCGTTTCATGATCGCAAGCTCGTTTGTGAGAGAAAGGGTCAAAGTTTGAGAAATTGAACAAGAAGCGATGCTGCTCCAATAAACCCTCTCTGCCGTACAGTTTCCATCAGTTCATCACAGGTAAAACTTCAGTAAACTTCCTCAAGTTTAAGGCTAAACCCATCGACATGAAAGACATCCACTTTTACACACCGACCACATAAACATCTGGATGAAAAGGCAAACGTTAGTGCGACTGGCGATTCTGCCATGGTCAAAAAGCACTACCGACTTCTCACGAGGACTGACCAAAGTGCCGATGGGACACTTTTAGGATTATATACCGTGTAGCAGAAAATGACCAGGATATTTATTCTCATAAAAACCTCCTCTCAGCAGAAGCAGTGTGTTTTAGCGCCACTGAAGCCATCGACATTCAATAACCATGACAGCTTTAAATTTAAGAAAAATATGATGAAAGGCTTGTAAATAAATCTGAATCACAAGAAAATAGCAGAAAATGGCAAAAAATAAACATACTAAGGCCACATGATTCTTTATACCGTTATCTCACAATGTGACAATCTGTACAAACAAACAGTGGGACTACAAGTGGCCAGCCTGCATCTGTTTACATCAGGAAGTTCCTCGTGGGCAACGCTAGGAGTGACATTTTTCTGTGACAGCACTGGATCCGTACACAGCAGGATGGACAGCAACACAAACCCCATCGTTTTTTGGAAGAAACAATCTAATCCGCTGTGACATACACCTTTAATTAAATGCAGGAAGGCCACTCACCGTCCAGGAAGTTCATCTTTACACATATTTAGTTCTTTGTTTTTTTTTTATCACACAGTTCCTCAGGTTATCTCAAGTCTCAACCGCAACAGTGGCAACAAACTGTATTTCAACTTAAGTTCGTTTTAAAGTATAATTTTGGCCCATTTTGTGCATAAAAGACCCACTCAAGTCTCATAGTTTAATTATTTACACGAAGGAATCATTAAAACTGGACGTCGACCCCTCCCGGTGATATAATCAAAAGAACCGATGTATCAAATCACGTTTAGCTCAGACTTATTCAGTTAAAGGTCATAATGAGGAGCAGCGTCTTAGCCTGCAAAAAAAAAAAAAAAAAAAAAAAAGGCAAGCAAACTCTGGTCCACAAGAGACACGTCCGAAGAGTTTCTGCTCTCTGCTTAGGAGGGAAAGTTCAGTTTTAATCATTTTAACCTGAGTGACAATTCTTTACAGCCAAAATGGGCCATTTAAAAATATCTAAAGCAGCTCAACTACTTTTCTTCACCAATTGTTCACAAATACATAATAAGGACAAACAATAGCCAGTTCAGTTCCCCCCAGTACCACCAACTGATTTTTGTTAACAGTAAAAACGTTTCTTTTGGGGAAAAAAGAAAAGAAAAAGATATAGTACAAAACAGGACCACTGTTCATCACCGAAATGTCTCTTCTTTAAAAAAAAAAAAAAAAACCAAGAAAGAAAGGGGGAACACAGTAAAAAGTTAACTAAAACATAAAAGTCCCACGGTCATCATTCTGTGAGATCAGTCTGTGCTCGATTGTGGCACCACCCAGCACAGAGGTGGGAGGAGGAAACCCTGTGTGGCTCGGCCCGTCTCCGGTGGAGTTGTGGGTGATGAGAAGGCGGAATGTCAGACTGCCAGCCGCCCCGGCGGAGGATGCAGGGGGCTCCAGGTTGGAGGTGCAGGTGGGGGTTCTTGGGGATAAGGGCGTGGCTCGCAGCACGGCTGGTTCTCTACTTTGGGTACGCTGCGACCCTGGCACAACCGCCGATGTCGCAACAGCCGGTCTGTGCGTGAAAAATTCTTCAAGAGACACAAATTGAACAAATAAATGAGGCCCGGAGAAAACAAATTACCATCAAACATACTGGACATGTAAAACAAAGCTCAGCAAATACCTGCTGGCACCGTTCGCACTGGTAAGGCTTCTCCCCACTGTGGACACGCTTGTGTCTCTCCAGGTGGTAGCGCTGAATAAACCTCATATCACACATGTCACATGCAAATGGCTTCTCTCCTAAAAGAGCACACAAATACACAGTCAATGCGTCAATTTTAAAGTCTTGACAACAACGAGCTGCGTGCAATCATCATAAACTTCTTCGAATAACTTTCCAACACTTAGAACAGTTGAAAAAAAAAAAAGTCAAAGAGTTCGAGCATCTTTCAGCTTCTCTAAAAGGTCTCGTCATCAACTCATTATGTGTAGATCAGAGTGGAATTTCTTATTGTCGTGGCCCAGATCTACGCAACGTAGTCGGGCCCCACAAACTGGGGCGGGTTGTCTGGTTTTGAGACTGGTTCAACATCCCATCAAATGATTTGACGATCCAAACTCGAGTTTGTCCTGATCCTTCAAGCACAGCTGCCTTAAGGGTACGGTAGAGGAACGCATACCCGTATGAGTGAGGCTGTGTCTCTCCAGGTGGTTACGCTGAATAAACCTCATGTCACACATGGAACAAGCATACGGCTTCACCCCTACACACACAGAGCAACATATTAGCCCTAACACCCACAAGTGCAAGAAATACAAGTTACACTCAAACTAGCCCTCGGGACTGAAACTCCCGTGAAGCTACCTGGTCCTGCACAATAACGTGCGTGTTTGGTTAGACATAATGTTACGATCAGACATGCAACTAAGATCAGGAGTTGAAGTGTGCAGAGCTGATGTATAATACAGTACTGTGCAATAGTCTTAGGCCACCCCTTGTCTAAATAATGTGCCGATTTTCATAGCTTGAAAAAAATAAATAAAATGAAATCAATATTCTAACCCATCTTGAGAAGTGTGTTTGTGATTTTTGTAGCAATCAGAATAGTCTTCCAGGCTTCTTAAGACATGTTAAAGCTATTTTTGTTTTGCTCATAGCCAAGATGATCTCCAAGTGTTTCAGTAACGTTTAAGTCCAGTTTGTGCAGAAGGGAATCCATGACTGATATGGATCTTTGATTTTTCTGCACTGGCAAAGTGTTTCAGATCACTAAAGTAGTGGTTCCCAACCTTGGTCCCTGAGGAACACCATCCTGCATGTTATTCTTCCCTTGGTCCAACACACCTGATGCAGTGATTTAAATACTTCTTCGGGTTCTGCAGAAGCCTGTTAATAACACATCCATTAAAATCAGGTGTGTGAACGCAGGAAACAACCAAAACATGCAGGATGGTGTTCCTCAAGGACCAGGGTTGGGAACCACTGCACTAAAGGACAGGAATGAATGCAGCCCGTCTAACATTTTCCAAAATGAAATGTCCAGAAGATCAAAATCAGATAGTAATTCTGATAGTCATAATTTTTGGCAAGATTGCCAACAATCCTTCCAAACCATGACAGATCCTCTGCCGTGTTTCACTGATGGTCATGTTTCTTCTGAACAACCTCAAACACCTAAATAGTAACAAACCAAACCTTTCAAATTTGATTTGTCACTAAGCTTTTTCCACCAATTTTCAGTCTAGCCATTCCGTCTTAAATCATTATACAAATTTTTGAATCTTCATTAATGTCCTTTAAACAGCCTTCTCTCTGCCTTCATCTTAATCAGACTAATCAATAAATAGATCAACTGAAAGGCCAGACGCACTGCTTAAGGCTCAAGTTAGGCCCATGAAAGTCATGTCCTTCTTAAACAGGACATGTTCTCGTTTATCTGCTGTTGTGGGAATTTAAGCCTCCAAATTCTTTGTTCCTCCCAGTTTTTATAAAACACTTAAAAATGAAGAAAAACAAGACAGAAAAATGAACGCATGCCAATATTTGATGATATTTTTTAGCTACAAGGACAGAAAATATAAAATTAGTAATTCTAAGTAATTTAAATAGTTAACTTTGGTATCTTCCATCAACTAAAAGAACAAAAATATCTTATTTCTGCATCACACTGCAATTTAAGTACATAAAGACCATTTAAAATTAGTTGATTATTTTAGTTTAGAAGTCTTTTTTACATGAATGATTTATAATTCAATAACGACTGTCCTTACAAACAAAATACATCTTTCGATAAAAGAAAAATAAATAAATACCAGACTAGAAATAAAGCAGTAAAAGTATATTAAAAATACTCGGAAAAAGTAGTTGTTAAAGCCTCAAGTACAACTTCTGAATTGTTTAATTTACTAAAATATTTAACTGCTTTGAAGTAAAAGAAAATTTACTAATAAAATCTGTGGTCACAATTTTAAGAAACTAAGCTTAATTATTTTTCTTTGAGACTATATTTTTAAAAATTAACATCATGCAAGCAGAGGCAATCACGAAGAGGAAACTCAAACCAGACAAACAGAAAGAAAGTCAGAAAAGGAGATGAAGTAATCAAGAAAAACAGTTTTGCAAAGGAAATAAATATTTCAAGAGTTGTTTCTGATTCATTCATAAGTGACTTACTGGGTAAAGTTATATGTATTAAAACCAAGTGTTCAAATTCATTCAAATTTAATATGTAGGTAAACATTTCAATTTATGATTTTTAGTTCAACTGGTTTACAGGAAACAAGTTTGCAGTAACTAACACTTTTAAAAATGTTTTTAAAATTAATTTTCTAGTTTTAACCAAAAACAGAATCAAGAAAACAAAATGACAATAGATTACAAACAGAAAAAAAGGAATAGGGGATTTTTTTTTTTACTATTCTTCACTTATTAATTTTGCTCTAGAAGTTGTAAAAATAAATAAAACAATTTCCACACTGCTCAAAAAGGAATGTGTATTTAACACTCCAAGATGCTACAGACAAAGCAGGAGGGTAACACGCAGATTTGCCTAATTTAGCCAGTTCATAGAACTATTTTATTAGGTTTACGATGCAGAATAAACACTTGAACTTTAAAACACTAAGCACAAATAATCTAAGTAATCTGTATTTACATTAAAACCTTATTTAAAAGCGATAATTTAAATGTGATGTTTTATGCACGCACAGCTATCCTCCATGAAACCAACTTTTTAACAATATTGGGACAAAGCTTAAACTTTTCCTTTCATCTCACAACGCCATCCTGAACATTGGGTCCGTCTAAACTTCATGATGCAACACGATAAAGAACCCAAACAGAATCTGAACAGTCTAGATGCCAACTATCTAAAACAGAAATCCCCAACTCTGGCAGACCTGACTGAAATAATTACCTGTGCAGAATGTCATCAAGTTCAGTCATTTCAGTCCAGTGTGTTGAAGCTAAAACTTAGCTACATTTACCTAAAAAGCATTTGTAATTTTTTTTAATAAATGGATGGTGACATTCTGTTGTTGTCATTTGCAACTACATTTACCCAGTGATAGCTTATTGTGTGTATTTTATTGCCTAAAACCTTTGCACAGTACTGTACATAATGTAGGCAGGTAGGCAGGTGCACTGAGGCGTACCCGTATGAGTGAGGCTGTGTCTCGCCAGGTGGTAACGCTGAACGAACCTCATGTCACAAATGGTACAAGCAAAAGGTTTCACACCTAAACGCAAAGCATCAATGCATTAATTTTAGAAACTTTACTTTTGATTCACAATCCATCAATCAGAAATGTCTTTGAAATTTCTATTTACAATTGATGGGTTGTTAACCACCTTTTGTTTCATAAAACTTTCATAATAATTGCTCAAAAAGAATGCATACCATTTAGTCTGAATGCCATTACAGCAACAATAAATTGTTCGTTTCCTCCAAATTATGACTCCACATCTAAACACATCTCATGAGCTGATGATAGCACTACGTTAAGCCAAAACTTCTTATTGTTACTTTAACACACATTGAATTACAGCATGATAAAGCGAAATATATCTTAGTTTTATTAAGGAAAAAGCCTCAGAGAAGTGAAATTAAAGCTGCAGTAATTTCTGTGACATGGGTAAGGTGGGCGGACGCATACCCATATGAGTGAGGCTGTGTCTCGCCAGGTGGTAGCGCTGAAAAAACCTCTTGTCGCACATGGTGCAAGCATAAGGTTTCACACCTAAATGCAAAGTAGTATTAATATATTTCACCTTTTACCCAATTCCATTCTGTAACAAAAAAAAAAGTCTAAATGACTGGTCATTAACCACACATAGGCTAAGTCATGCAAAACTAAACAGTACCAAATGTTACCTTTTATACTAACTGGAAGTAAAAAAAAAAAAGTACTTCACCAATCAGATTACTGATGATCTTTTGATTTTGTTTTCAAATAATAAGTCAGTTCCTTTGAAGAAGGGTTCTGTAGAAAGGGTTCAAATTTATTAAATATCTTACCTGTTGTAGATAGCTTTGTGAGCAACCTTTATTTGGAGAAACCGAGTTTAATTCAGACTAGGCCTGTCACGACAACAAATTTTGCTGGGCGATTAATTGTCTCAGAAATTATTGCGATGAACAATAATATTGTTTGAAATTTGACAATAATTAGTCATTATTGTCAAATTTAAGAAGAAACGTTGGGTAATTTAGTTTGTATCTAGTACCTTTTTTTGACCACCGGATGACAGTACAGACTGTTTGAACCGAAGGATGGATAGTGAGGGAGCGAGCGGCAAGTCTCTAAGAAAAATAGAAGGGAGGCCCCTTGACGTGACATGGGCTGTTTCTTCTTCCTCGTTTTCGGTTCTCAAAATAGCGGACGCTCGGTGTGGTTCGAGCTTTTTAGCATAGCATTTTTCACACAAAATGTTTAATAAAAAAATTTAAAAAATCAGTAAACAAGTTCTCAGATTCTTTTTGCAGAGAAAAACAACTTTTTACATGAAGGCACGAATTTCAACCGGGAATTTTTGAGCTTCGACGAGACGCTGAACTAGAAGTGCTACAGCTAGCTGCTACCACTATTTGCACTGCCAAATTATCAAACTTTGTTTAAATAAATAACCAGGTAATGTGAAACAGACAATGCAAAGGTCAGCAGCACCACGTGGGTCATGGCCCCATCCACACATGTCATAAACTTGTCAGCCCAGTCAGAATTAAACTCTTTTAAAGAGCTATCTACAACAGGTAAGATATTGTTTATTACGTTTCCACAGAACCACACCACAAAGAACTAGAACTTTAGTGGTTTTAGTTCATTTGTAAGTGTGTGTGTGTATCATGTCCGTATATTAGTCTTAAATTACCGCAACAGTAGTAAGAATGCACAAATTAGCCAGACAGCGATGGGAATCAGCCCATTTTCAGCTTGACCAGGAAATATTCAAAAAATTATCTTTTTTTTTTAAACAGCAGCTAATTTACATGAGAATTAGCATAACTTAGATGTAGAAGTTTAGAGTTTTTTTTATGTAACCACAAAAGCTGTTAAAAGAAAGTATGTTTTCTAAAGATCATGTCAGGTGGCAACTTCTTGAAAAGTATAAAAGCTAAGGTTTTGCTTCATAGAAATGTTGAGACTTAAACAGGAGACATCAAATCCAGTTTACCGTACCTTGCAAGCCCAATAATGTCAGACCACAAAGGTAAGTTTTAATGGTTTACTTTTCTTAAACTATAATTTGCCTTGAACACAATTATTTAGTTTAAAATTTAGGGCTTTTAGAGAAAATGTCTTGTTGTGCTCAATGTTTTAATGTGTGTGTATATTGAAAAAGTATTGAACTGGGTTAGCTCAGAGAAAAATTTAAGCTTTACATTTCTTGGCATTATACAAATGGTGGTTTCAACAGTGGGATTGTGTTTTATTTATTTATTTTATTAAAAGCTATTCATTACAATTGTAAAACCCTACAATTAAAATAAAAATATATATTTATCATTGTATTTACAGTGATGTTTGTTAGCATTTTATTTAAAAATGCCAGATTTTGTAGAGCTTCAATGATGCACATTAAAACAATTCTCACATTAAACTGTTCCCTGAACCTGGTGACGCTCCTAATGCTAATATGATGGTGACCGCATACAGTGGTCTTTAAATTGTGAGAGGGCGAGTGCACTGAGGCGTACCCGTATGAGTGAGGCTGTGTCTCGCCAGGTGGTAACGTTGAAAAAACCTCATGTCACACATGGTACAAGCAAAAGGTTTCACACCTAAACGCAGAGCATTATGGTATTATATTCAAACTTAGTATTCTGTGTTTACAATCCATCAATAGGCAATAAACTACCTATAAGTTATGTGAAATTGATGGGTTGTTAACCACTAATAAAGTGATCTTTTTCCCCCCTTATGAATTTCCAATTTCATTATAGAATATATCAAGGTCTAATAACCAATTTAATCCACAATAACACACCACATGAGCTGATGATGTTTGAGTCCTGTATTTTGTTGTGTATTTAGACTATGTAAATGTTCCACTTTTGAAGATAAATGTAGGATTGATCAAGATCATTCATGTTAGTTCGAGAAATTATAAATAACTACCACAGACTGCTGAACTTCATATGAAACAAAATGGAAACACAATTTGATTTCTGTGACATGGGTAAGGTGGGCGGACGCATACCCATATGAGTGAGGCTGTGTCTCGCCAGGTGGTAGCGCTGAAAAAACCTCTTGTCACACATGGTGCAAGCATAAGGTTTCACACCTAAATGCAAAGTAACAATATTATATTACTTTGCCTCACTTCTCAGTGTTTAATTTAGAAAAAAAAAAAATTACACAATTGGTTATTAACCACACAAAATGACCAATTTAAGCAAAAACACAAAACTTATTTAATATTCTCTTTAGAATGCTTATCAACTTCTCAATGTAAAGTTATCACCAAACATCAAGAGAGTAATTTAATTTGTAACCACTCTGCTTATTCTGATTAAGCCCATTATAAACAAACAAGGGCACTTTGTTCAAAACTTTAAACCTGACATGTTCCTCTGTGCCAGTATCTCACTGGGCTGCCACTTTTGGAGTGTCCACAATGTCTCAAAAGGTTTGGTTCGCAGAGGCTTGCAGTCTTGTTGCTTGAATTTTTTAAATATTAGCATTATTTTTTCCACAAAATGGTCGCAAAGTTGTCGCCAACATCTTGACCCAATATTGAACACTTTTCAATTCAGTTTTATAAATCTAGAATTGGAGCTGCATGGTAGTTCTCCACTGACAGAAAACATCCAAGGCAGAATGTTCAGGTCTAACCACACCAATGATGACCTTTATTTATTTATTCAAATCTGCTCATCTTCATGTCAAATGTCCAATCGTTAATACATTGAGGCAAAAAAGTATTTAGTCAGCCACTGATTGTGCAAGTTCTCCTACTTAGAAAGATGAGAGAGGTCTGTAATTTTCATTATAGGTACAATTCAACTATGAGAAAAAATGAGGAAAAAAAAATCCAAGAAATCACACTGTAGGATTTTCAAATAATTTATTTGTACATTATGGTGGAAAATAAGTATTTTGTCAATAAACAAGCAAGATTTCTGGCTCTCACAGACCTGTAACTTGTCCTTTAAGAAGCTCTTCTGTCCTCCACTTGTTACCTGTATTAATGGCACCTGTCATTGTATAAAAAAACCCTGTCCACAGCCTCAAACAGCCAGACTCCAAACTCAACCGTGGCCAAGACCAAAGAGCTGTCGACGAACACCAGGAAGAAAATTGTAGACCTGCACCAGGCTGGGATGAGTGAATCTACAATAGGCAAGCAGGTTGGTGTGAATAAATCAACTGTGGGAGCAATTGTAAGAAAATAGAAGACATACAAGACCATTGATAATCTCCTACGATCTGGGGCCCCACACAAGATCTCATCCCGTGGGGTCAAAATGAACATGAGAACGGTGCACAAAAATCCCAGAACTACACGGAGGGGCCTGATGAATGACCTGCAGAGAGCTGGGACCAAAGTAACAAAGGTCAGCAACACACTATGCCAAGAGGGACTCAAATCCTGCAGTGCCAGGCGTGTCCCCATGTTTAAACCAGTACATGTCCAGGCCCGTCTGTAGTTTGCTAGAGAGCATATGGATGATCCAGAAGAAGATTGGGAGAACATCATGTGGTCAGAAAAAAAACAAAATAGAACTTTTTGGTAAAAACTCAACTTGTGTTTGGAGGAAGAAGAACTCTGAGTTGCATCCCAAGAACACCATACCTACTGTGAAGCATGGGGGTGGAAATATCATGCTTTGGGGCTGTTTTTGTACGAAGGGAACAGGATGACTGATCCATGTTAAGGGAAGAATGAACAGGGCCATGTATCGCGAGATTTTAAGCCAAAACCTCCTTCCGTCAGTGACAGCATTGAAGATGGAACATGGATGGCTCTTCCAGCACGATAATGATCCCAAACACACCACTCGGGCAACAACAGAGTGGCTCTGTAAAAGCATTTCAAGGTCCAGGAGTGGCCTAGCCAGTCTCCAGACCTCAACCCCATAGAAAATTTGTGGAGGGAGTTGAAAGTCCGTGTTGCCCAGCGACAGCCCCAAAACATCACTGCTCTAGAGGAGATCTGCACGGAGGAGTGGGCCAAAATAGCAGCTACAGTGTGTGCAAACCTGGTGAAGACTTACAGGAAACATTTGAGCCGCTATTGCCAACAAAAGTTATGTTACAAAGTATTAAGTTGAACTTTTGTTATTGACAAAATATTTGTTTTCCACCATAATTTACAAATAAATTATTTAGAAATTCTACTGTGTGATTTCCTGGATTTTCCCCCCTCAATTCGTCTCTCATAGTTGAAGTGTACCTATGATGAAAACTATAGACGTCACTCATCTTTCTAAGTAGGAGAACTTGCACAATCAGTGGCTGACTAAATACTTTTTTGCCCCATTGTATGGGGGCGGCTGCCCATGTCAGTACAAAATGGCCCAAGTTGAGTACATTGTATGCAAATCTGGGAATTACAGTACAGTTTTGCAATCCGTGCACACAAAAATAGACAGTCGTTTTCAAAAACTGGCTGCAAACCTTCAAAGTAAAACTGAAATCTGGCTTATTTTTCTCACAATTCTGTCAGCAACAAGTCTCCAATAGTCACAGCTCAGTGAGATAGCTGCTTTAAATATGAACAAACACAGTTCTGATGCCAACTAAAAATAAAACGAGACCTAACACTGAATGTCATGGGCACAATGCATGGTCCCATACCCGTATGAGTGAGGCTGTGTCTTGCCAGGTGGTAACGTTGGAAAAACTTCATGTCACACATGGTGCAAGCATAAGGTTTCACCCCTAAACGCAGAGCATTAAGAGAATTATTTTTGTCTCTCTGCAACAGCAACAGCAACAACAACAAAAAATCTATAAGTCTGTGTCTTGGGGGGAGCCAATCTGAGCTAAATTGTGATCTGTGGTTAATAACCAATGCCATAGTCTTAACTTACAAGTGTACAATCAATTAAATAAGTTGGTTTTAAAATTACAAAATAGGGAACTTGTACAACACAAGAATATTGTATGCAATCTAATGGAAATAACACCGTCTGAAGCTGTGTACGATTAAAAAGGTATACAAGACTAGAATAAACCATACTGCAGCAACCTAATTTTGTGACTGGTTTAAGATTGGCAGACGCATACCCATATGAGTGAGGCTGTGTCTCGCCAGGTGGTAGCGCTGAAAAAACCTCTTGTCACACATGGTGCAAGCGTACGGCTTCACCCCTACACACACAAAGTACCAGCTTTAGCATTCAAAGAAACTCAACTGCCAAAAATGATCGACGTTAAACTTTACTAATGGCTTTAGTAAAGTTTGGCTGTACGTTATCAGCGCTTCGTTTGAACTGGAAATTCCAGCATGCCTCAACAATCTGCCATTCCAATTAGAAATTACTTTTCCATGTCCCAAATCAAGACTGACTACTGATTGTCTTGTGCTAAAGTGTAAACCAAACATATAGAGGAATAAGAAAATTCTTCCACATGGAAAGCACAAGTGTCTTGTTACAAACCAAACAGGACAAAAAAATATAAATCTATTAAATGACCGTTCAAGCAGTTGAGGTCTAATCACTAGTAGTCCCATTCAAACTAGCACAACAGTTTTTCACATGATGCCAATAAACGCTTTCATGTTCATAATTCCAACAAATCACAGGGGGGTCATTTTTGTTACGCTGATAGCAGTAGTTAAGACAATTTTAGGCAGTTGGCAAACAACTGTTCAACACACAAGCTTACACATTGATTTGCAGAGCAACTGTTGTGCTTTAACAAGAAAACGGAAAGCAAACTAATCTGAAAATCAGAAAATTAGATTTGAGAAAAAAAAAAGGAAACGGATTCATATTTAAATAAAGCTAAATCTGCCATGTAAAAATCAAATGGCAAAAAAGCAAACAGCCTCACATTAAACATGTTTCCACATATAATGTATTCGTAAGTGAAGATGTTATTTCCTGACCATAACTTTGAATGTGAAATGACACAAGGACTAAGTTGTGTGAGTTGTCAGGCCAGAATTTGCATGTAGTTTTTTTTATTATTATTTTTTAAATAAATTTTGTCAAAATATCAACTTATTCAAAGACACTTATTTCAATCAAGGCACATCATGTTGCCCTTGTAGCCATGTAGATCAGACATTAATAATCATTCTCATATACGTTTCAAAAATATAAACACAAACAAAACAGGATTCAAACCAAATTCATCTCTCTTGCTTCATTCATATTATGTTGCCTCTGTATTTTTATTTTTCCAAACGGACCAATTTAGAAACACTTTTTGCTCCAGGTAGCTACAAGTCACAACAATAAAACCCTTCAATCATTTAGTTTTGCCAATTTCAAGCACCTTGGAAATATTTTCTTTTGGACAGCAACTCAATTTCCTAACCCTCTTACAACTTATTAGCATTATAACTTTAAACAAGTTACTCAAGATATCTGCATACACAAAACAAATTTGATAATCAAAATGAAAAGAAAACACATTTCAATTTGTTACGGTCATCCTGATTATATAAAAATTAAATATAAAAATTGGTATTTGATTTTAATGCTTGAGCATTACTTATTTATTTTTTTTAAAGCCTTTTTTATTTAAAAATCTGGGCAAAAGAGGATTTACATTCGTAAAAAATTACGTCAGTGAAGTTGAACAAAAGCTTAAACTGTTTTTAACAAGACAAAAATTACGACATAACATCCAGCTAACTATATTTTCCAGGTTGTTGATAATGCAAGTCTTGTTGCAAACCATAGTTAACATTTGCTTCATAGCTGTTATGTCATTTCATAGACAAAGTATGGGGGAAGTAACAATAAGTGATTATAAAAACCCAAACAGATAAATTAGCAACTGTAAGCATAATGACAAAAAGCTACACAAACTCGAGTTTGAAGCAGCCAGGTAACCAATAATGTGCGTGCAGTACATGCATAACCAAAGCCAGGAAGCGAGATGGTTAAAACAGAACAAAGGACATACCTGTATGAGTAAGGCTGTGTCTCTCCAGCTGGTAACGTTGAATAAATCTCATGTCACACATGGTACAAGCATATGGCTTCACACCTAAACAACGATATTAGAAACGTTTCAACTCACAGTTAAAGATTTAAAATAACAAAATTCTTCCAAGACAGTGTATGGCATGCGTATGTTAGTGACATTACACTAAAAAGAATCCCAAAAAGCAAACATTTTGTTAAACTAGATGATCAATACAAAGTATTGATAACCAAACTACTTGTTTTATATTAAATAATTCAGCAAAAAACATTTATACCAATCGATTGCTTTAATTTTACAATGAAACTTTTTCAAAAAGCAGCAGGCAAACATTTTTAATTTTTCAAACAAATTCTCAGGAACTTCTGTCTAATCGACACTGCAAATTAAAAATAATCTGTAATCAAGATCATTTTTAGTGTAATGTGTCTTTTATCGAAAACACAGTCGACAATACACATGCAAAAGTACCATTAAGGTCTGAAAACTCAAGATGACTGAACTGACAGAGTCACTTTTTCAGTGGACAGTTTTCCAACAAAACCTATAAACTCTATTTAACATTTGTTGTGGAAAGAAATATCATAAATGTATTACTTAGGATTTAGTCAGAGGATGAGCTTGTGAATAAAAATAAAAGTTTAAATTCGATATGGGAAAGTTTCAGTGATAGGGGAACAATTGATTTGATCATACCAGTATGAGTGAGGGTGTGTCTTGCCAAATGGTAACGCTGGAAGAACCTCATGTCACACATGGAGCAAGCGTATGGCTTCACCCCTAAACGTATACAGTACCAAATTTTAGAAACAAAAAAAAGTTTCTCGTGAACGGTGTGCACAAAATATATCAACACATTTTCATTACAAGGTTTCATCAACCTTAATGGTCTGTTCACTAAGCATAACATGAGTCATGTCAAAACTAAAAGTAGTAACCAAACACAATAAAACTGATGTCTTCAAGTACTTTTACTTATATTTCCAATTAAGAATATAACAGAGAGGAATAAGTTTTATCTGACTTTAGGTTTTGAACAGAGATGAGTCACACTAACAAGGATAAACGTCAGTCAGCCCTAATATTAAAAAGGGGATAAATAAAACTTCTACCCGTGTGAGTGAGTGTGTGTCTTGCCAGGTGGTATCTCTGGAAAAATCTCATGTCACACATAGAGCAAGCATATGGCTTCACGCCTGCACACACAGAGCAAAGTATGTTGTAAAAACCAAAACAATGAACGCAACAGGACACACTTATGTGTTCAGTCGAGCCATAAAACGCATCAAAATCGTGTGCCAAAAGAAATAAAAATTATACATTCAGCTACTTTTTTCTAATCTGTACACATTCATGTAAAAAGGATCTTGCCTAAATTACTTATTCTGAACTCGTCACAACCTAAAAAAGGGCTTTTGAACTCCAGTCAGAGGTATTTTATTGGAAGTAAATTCATAATAAAGTGGTTAGCTGTCAAAAAATATACTGATTTTAGAGATTAAAGACAAAAACTAGGACTAGGAGTTACTCGTCATGTTCTTTATGCGCAAGACAACTTGTTGCTTTTGAATACTTCATTTTACACACAGGAGACCAATAAATTTGGGTATTTGGGCACTCGTGTAGTAAAGGAGGGCAAACCCATACCCGTATGAGTGAGGCTGTGTCTTGTCAAGTGGTAGCGTTGGAAAAATCTCATATCACACATGGAGCAAGCGTATGGCTTCACCCCTACACACAAAAAATATATAAATATCAACTAGACAGAAAAAAATGAACGTTTCAACAAATAAACAACTTGTTCTTAAAGTAGCTCTTCTTTTGGTTCCATTCTTACAATCATCCTGAGATAGAAACACATCCGTTTTGATTGCCTTCATTCGTCTATGTGCTTCATGATTAGCAGAGTTTCAATCCGTTTAATATCTGGTATTTTCAAGTAATTGCACAGAACAAAGTAGGGCATTCAACAGAGGAAAAGCAAAGTTATCAACGCGCAGATGCCTCATTTTGTATGTACATTTTTTTAATATAACTAAAAAGGAGTTTTTTTAAATTTCCTATTATACCTGGATTCATCTAGTGTATCAAAAATATGCACTTTTGAAGCAGCTACCGTTACTAATCCTCCTAAATTTATTTAAATTGTTTGTGTTGAAAAGTGAAACTTTTTAAACATCGCTAAACTAGGGTAAGCGGACGCATACCAGTATGAGTGAGGGTGTGTCTTGCCAGATGGTAACGTTGGAAGAACCTCATGTCACACATGGAGCAAGCGTATGGCTTCACCCCTACGTACACAAATTTGTAACATATTAGCCACGACGTTTGTTAGGAAGCAAAACTAATTTATTAACACCGGGTCATCATGATCGGGCTCGCATTTCACATCCAAGTTTAAATGCTTTGTTTGATTTCCAATTAGAAAAATTGTACTTTAGGATGGAGCGTTATCTTTAAAACAGATTGGAGTACAATGCAAAACAAAAACATTTAGAGTTTAACTAATAATACATATATGTCAGCAGCTGCACAGCCAGAAACTGTCTGGGACAATGGTTACCTGAGTCAGAAAGCTCGACAGACTTCCTCAAAAAATAAATTAATTTAATTTAAATAAACAGATCTAATGGTTTCACCTAATGCTAAAATGATAAGTCCTTAACAGCACTGACAAAAAGTGTGTTCTATCAAATATGAATATTGACAAGCAGAGTATCATGGGATTCTATTATATCCATTTTAAGTTTTTACTCTGAACTTTTCAATAAATTGACAACGAAGAATCTGTATAAACAAAAGTATCTGTGAAAAGTGCTGACTGCAGCTATTTGTCTGCAGGTAAATCAGTGTGAACGTCAGAGGTCTCTTCCTGTGATATTAAACTGGCAGAACTTTTGTTTCCAGCCTGTGTATTAATTGCTCAAATAGGAAACTATTTAAAAATATGAAGTTTAACCAAATTTGGGTACGGCAAAAAAACCATACCCGTATGAGTGAGTCTGTGTCTCTCCAGGTGGTAACGCTGGAAAAACCTCATGTCACACATGGTACAAGCGTACGGCTTCACCCCTACACACACAGAGCATAAAGTTATTAACTAATAATCAGTCTGTTAACTAAAGGATAAAAATAAATAATTCACAAAAAATAATGTCTAATGGGATATACAAAACAGATGCAGTGCTGACACAAAAAGTGCTCAATTAGGCAATTACTAAAATTATAAATATGTGCAAATAAACAACGACAAGATAGTTTAGTAAATTTATCCAGTATTATTTAAATTTAAAGAAGTTCTTATAGTGGATACTTGATCAGCAGTGATTAACTTGGAGGAAGTTGACTTACCCACAGTGCTTACTTTTTTTTATTAAAGAAAAAGGATGAGAGGGTGAAATACAAATACTGAAAGTATGCGTTTTTTTTTTTTATATGAAAAGCCTTGAAGTTTCATTTTATAGTCTTTTTATGTCTGAGGATTTTTCAAGATAAAACTAAACACTAAAATAATTTTGAAAATACTAAATATATTGTGTTTTGTGTTGGGATATGGTTTTAAATTTGTACATCTGAGTCCACATGTTTGAGTCACTTTTCAAGTCCACTATCAAAACATCTTTACTTTTCAGTGACAATTTATGTATGAAATACATTTACAAAGAATAAACTGGTAACTAAAAACAGATAATTGTTTTTGACAACAGTGAAAGAATATAGAAAAAATAATGAGGTCACTGGTGCAGTCTGCTATGCTTCAAAGTGTTTACAGACCACGAGAACAACCATTAGAGAACAATAAAATATCAGATTATTAGCCTGAATGCAAATCCACAGTAACTGCACAACTTTAAGACCGGAACATATTACAGGGTTTTTTCCCAAAAAACTAATTTTATACATACGACATTTCCACATAACTTATTTACCAAACTACACAGAAACTACAGTTTCCAATACTTGAAAACAAAATACAAAGCAGTGCAATATGCATTATTATTGTGATGCATGCTCAATAATTCAGGTAGAAAAATCTAACAAAGTTAAGTCAGGTCCTCTGGACAGATTAAAAAAAACAATATGAACAGTGAGCTTGTGAAGCTAACTAGTGAACAGATAGTTTTGGATGTCAGCAACAAACTGGTCGATCCACTATGATAAGGGGCTATTTATAATAGTTTATTGCAGCGCCTCAGACTGACGAAGTATTTTGGATTAAAGACGAAACGTTTCAACAAGTTTTTTTATTTTTTTGAATCTGTCCAGTGGACCCGGCTTAACTTTGTTAAATATGTATTATTACTGAAGACATAAAAAACTCTGTTTCTACAGACAATCAAAAAATTTTATTTTCTAATTACTTTATATTTAAACAGTGTGTCTGCTTGCATGGAAAAGAAAATGTATTATGATATATGTGGTATGCTTAATTATGCCGAAAACTATAAATAAGCTTAACATTGGTAATTTTAACATACCGCTAAAATAATGTGAATTAGCCTAACTGAACTGTGCCAATCAAACTGTACTACACAATGCCAATATCAAATTTAAATTGTGTCAAGTACATTAACAAACAAAGAGATTTTAATAGTGGACTTTGGACTAAGGGACCACATTGGCTGAAATGCCATTTTTTCTTACGCTATGGACAAATAAGAAAACTACACAATATACTATGAAATTAAAGAGATTTAGGGGATGGCTTTGTTGGAAGTTACTGTCCACAGACAAAAATGAATCTTCAGCATCTGTTCCTTGATTTATGTGAAAGACTACATGCGTAGTCAAATTTATGCAATATGGGTACGGTTGAAGGACGCATACCCGTGTGAATGAGGCTGTGTCTCTCCAGGTGGTAACGCTGAATAAACCTCATGTCACATACGGCACAAGCATACGGCTTCTCCCCTAAACCGAAGAGCACCAGTTTTAGTTCAAATCCTCCATAGATACCAATTAGCTGTGAGGCAAAGCTACAACCAAACAAGGCTTTAAGCAGGCCATTGCAAAAAGCACACAGCTGCGGCACTCTCCTAGACTCAGTCCAACTTAGGTGTTGAGAATGATTTCACAATTCACTCAAAATAATCTGTCAATAAAAGCTGCTCTGGCTTCAATGTGAACTTAAGTTGTTCCAAGCATATGCCATACCTGTATGAATGAGGATGTGTCTCTTTAGGTGGTATCCACTTCTAAATGCTCCGTAACAGTGATCACAAATAAAATTTTTCTGCACTTTGGATGAAGGCCCATTCTCGTCTCCACCTCCCTATGAAAAAACAGGAAATGCAACCATTTGAAATGCAATCCTTTGCAGTATTTATTGTGTAGCAAACTTATGCACATTATGGCACAATGTAACAAAAACACAATGGCCTCATTTGTTACGCCAACCAATTGATAACTAAACAGAAATTGGGAAAAGCTAAACTGCTGGGAAATGATTGCACACAAATAAAATGTGCATTAAAAATTTTACTCTACCCGAATACCAAATTATGTTTAGTACGAATGACAAACTATATTTTATTAATTTTTAACAGTGTAATTAGTATTTGATTTGAGAAATGCACCACATTCCCCTTCCAGGGGCCTAATGCCCTCACGTTACTACTCCCTCTGTTATTCTCACAACAGCAGTTATTGTGCTCCACTTCGCTCCCCTCCCCCCTTCCTCTCCAGAGAACCTCCACCCCCTCCACATCTTTCCTGTGCTCCTCCCCCCACCCCCACACAAACAAAATGAGCACCCACGAATGATCTGGCCAGCCTCACTTGGATATAGTGAAAAGCTGTTAAAATGGCATGCATGAAGAGATGAAGATACTTTTATTAAAAAGGAAAAATTAAAACCAGGGCACCAAAAAAAAAAGTTTTTTCTAAATTTAGTAATGCCAGCTACTGACCTTCCCACCCCTTCCGTCTTGTTCTCTTACTTTACAGGGCGTTACTGATTTCCTGTTCTTTTTTTTCTGCTGCATGTCTTCATTGGCCCTCATCTCTTTCTCGTCCAGCAGGCGGGGAGCTTGGAATTCACCTTCCTTCCGGATGAGCTAGAAAGCAGGAGAAAGTTATTTCCCATTTTCTGAACAGTCACCTTTAACACTGTATCTGACCAGAACTGGAGTGACAATTTTAAAACTTGATGGCACTTATGGTTTTAGAGATAATTTGTATTCTTTTTATCATCAGCACACTATTAAATCACTAATATTTTACAAATGAGAGCATCTAGTCTTTTTGTATCAGAGTCATGATTTGTCTATGTGAAGAAAAAGCAGCATAAACTCTTGGTCAAACGAACAGGTTGAAGCTCAACAAAGATACTGTGGTCATTTTAGAAGACAAATCTTAACTTCATTTGCACTAAAACTATCCACTATTCCACATTTGATGTGTAAAGAAGTAAAGTGTTGCGGCCTTCACGCTAATAAAAGCCACATTTCCACATCACATTTCCCACGTGAGTGCTTACTAGTGGTGGACAGCTCATTCCAGACGGGAGGATCATATGGCTCTGGGGAGCACGGTCAGGTCCCTCTCTCTGAGGTGGTGTGTGGCCAAGTGGAGACATCATTTTTTTAGGCGGAGCAGCCATTGTACTGGCCTGCATCAGGGCCATACTGGAGAGGACAGCCTCGCATCCAAGCAGCCCCGCCTGCAAGGAAAAAAATAAATAAAACAAGAATTAAGAGCAACATTTTACAAACCGTCTAAATATATATATATATATATATAAAAAAAAATCAGCAATTTGTTAACGAAGACTTCAGTATCAGTGGCACAACATTGACAAAGGTAGTCATCAACGACATCATCCTGAGTGACACAAGACTGCAAGTAAAGTTATTTGTAACCATTTTGGTGTTGTCAAAACAAACCCATTTCATATGGTCGCGGACTGAGCTGCTGGGCAGATGTGACATTGCTGTGGGATATGTGAGCGCAGGGACAGGGGTGGGGACAAGGTCATCCAGAGATCCGTCAGTCAGGATGGTCGTCGGGATGGTGGGAAGCCACACCCACCTCACTCATCTAGTATTAAAACTGAGGAAGAGGAGGATGTGAATGAAACAGACAGACATAGTATGACAACTCATGACTATATAGACATACAAAACAACAAAGCACAAGCCTATTTCTTGGAAAGGAGTACAATAGTATATTTTTGTTTGCACATCTTATTGAGGTTTGAAAAATGCTCAATTAATGAATGTAAAATAAAATCCACTTTTGGAAATCAATAAGTTAAAAAGGACATTTATCTCGTACTGTACTTTGAAGCTTGCACATTTTTTAGAAGTTGTCAAACACCAGAACATTAAGCTGAATTTCTAGTTTTACTTTGCCAAATCCTATAAATCTAACATAAGTTGAGACATTAAAACAGTCATCCTGTATGTTATATTAACAAATCAAATTAAACGTGTGGAACTATAAAATGTCAATTATTAATACGTACCTGACCAGTTTTGGACCTTAATTTTTTTTTTTTTTTTTTAATACCTCTCTGGTATTGTTTTTTAAATTCTCTGTTTGTTTGTTTTTAAATAGCTTGTGCATGTTCCTTTGAAACTCTGGCACAACAATTTCCTACAGGTCAGGATCAATAAAGTTATATCTTATGGGCTTAAATGTAGTGGTAATTTAAATGGTTTGTAATTAAAAAAAAAGTTAACAGCCCTATGCTATAAAACTAGCATGTGATTATACAAGTAAAAATAAATTCTTAATACTGATTTAGAGATAGTTTTAAACTCACTTTTGTAATGTTTTATACTTACAAAACAACAAATTAATCTAAGGTGTTATAGGTGCAGGCAAATCGTTTTCAGTAAAAAGAAAGAGCTGTTTTCATAAATCGCCTTTACACTTTTACTATTTTTTGGTAAAAATTCTAGAGCCTTTTTTTGAATATATTTTTACAACCTAAACAACTAAAATAGGTCTTAGTCCAAGCAGTGGCTTATGTTATTTATCTTGATGACAAAAAAACAACAACATAAAAACACGACCAACAACCTTTGAAAATTTGCTGAGACTAAAAAAGTTCTAAAATCTATATTGTGAAGTCTTATTAAACTAACAAATAGTGAATCATAAAGTACAATACTTGAAAAAAAACATAAGAATTACGTAAAAATGAAATAGATAGAGTGCAAGTAGCTTTGTACACAAATACATGTTTTTTTCTAAGCATGCCAGCCCACAACAAAGCTATTCACAGGTGTTAAATTTAAAGACCTACAGTAATTCATAAACACTACTTTGTGGAGAAACATCCAAGACAACGTCTTAAGTTTGTATGCATTTGTTTGTATTTTTCTATTGTATTTGTGATACAACAGTTTCCAGAAATTCACAAAATATAACGTTGATCAACTTATCGGCAGGGATGAACGCTAACATGCTAATTAGCCATATGTATGAGGGGGTGGGGGGAATGCATATTTTTATTAAATAAGTTGTTTTGTAAAACACAAGGAAAAGGCGTTAACTAACATACTTTTGCTCTTAAAGTAAATACATTTCCCAGCCAGGTCTGAAGTGGCCTTCGTCCTGTCACCGAACCTAACGCTAGCTTTGCTGCTGGCTAACAGCAGCTAGCTAAACTAGCAGCTAGCTGGCGCCCTCGCCCACTGTAATGCTATTTAAAAAGCCCACTCGATCATTGATTGTATACAGCTGCGTAAAGTAAAGCTACAGTTCACAGATTAGACAGGTTCATGCTTTTTCGAGTAAACTACCTAAAGACCCTGGCCCAGCTGGTTCCAGACGAAGCTGAGCAATAAAGACATTCGTGATGGCCGCCGCTGCGAGTGCCTCCCCCTCCCAAATGTTAAGCTAACATTTGTTAGCCACCTTGCACTGGCTAACACCGACGCTGTAACAATGTGTGAATCCTTTAACTGCCGTATCCCAGCATAAATTACACAAAATAAGAGCGCAAACGCATTTAAGGTCAACAAAGCGTTCAAACGCAGACCAAAGTCCCCTACCTACCAGCCCGCTTCGCCCGACGTTTTCTGCACCGTCTAGTTTACAAACACAGGAAACGCCACAGGATGTAGCCCACTCCCCCACACAGCAGCAGCAGCAAACCCTCCTCAGGCGAAGAGAAGCTCATCTTCCTCCAACTCCCCGTGAACACGGAGCGTTAATTAAACCTGCGACAGCGAAGAAAGCTTAGTCCATTATTATTAGTAACGTGGAGCTATTACGCCCACTACGGTTATAACGTTAGGCTGGGGTCTGCCTGTTCAGCTCAGTCTGTGGTGGATTCAGTGCACGTCTGAAGTGAAGAGGCGCAGAAAAAGAGGGAGCGAGCTCTTAAAATGACAGAAAACAGGGACGAAATAATAAACACTGGGGTTGGGGGAGGGGAGGGGAGGGGAGGGGTGGCTTTGTACGCTCTTGGACCATTATTATTTTACATTGCCAGACTAATAGAATTTCCAATTTTATTATTGGTTTAAATTTATAAATTTACACTGGTAGGATTCCCAGTTGTGTTTAGACACTGTTTGTTTTTATTTGCTGTTTTTAATATTGTTTTATGTGTGTCACGCATGTATACTTTGTACGTATGATTCTTTTCATTCTACTTTTGTTGTTTTGTTGATTTTTAAACTTTTTGGTTACCACAGTTGCAACAAAAAGTTTGGAGATTGTGTAAAATGCATTTTAAAATCTCATAATAAGCCCATATTTTGTTCACAATGGAGCATGGTAAACATAAAACAGTTGCTAAGACTTTCCAGCTTTTGCAATCCGCATTTGACATCATCCAGTCAGATTTGTTCCACCTCAAACTTGTCTTAAATGCCGATAAAACCAAAGGGATGCTTTTTTCAAACAGGAAGTCAGTCCCAGCATTTCCAACAATTTTTGGTCAGGACATCTGGACAGTTTCTTTTTTTGCTGAAACGTTTCACCTTCCATCCGGAAGGCTTCAGCAGTCAAGGAAACACACAACACAAAACTGATTCTTTCCCCAAACAGCTTACTCCAAAGTGGAACAAACCAGCTATGTTGGTGCTAAGATTGAGCATGGACATTTTTGGTTTTGAACCAGTTTGACATGGCTGTCGACGAGGAAGAGGGCTGACATCGGAGGAGGGGGCGTGCCAAAGACACCATCTTAGCACCAACACAACTGGTTTGTTACACTTTGGAATAAGCTGTTTGGGGGAAGAATCAGTTTTGTGTTGTGTGTTTCCTTGACTGATGAAGCCTTCCGGATGGAAGGTGAAACGTTTCAGCAAGAAAAGAAACTGTCCAGATGACCTGACCGAAAATTGTTGGATTGTATACCTGGATTATTGAGCATGGACATTTTTGGTCCCAGCATTTCTTCCTCCGATTTTATCCTCAAATGGTGTCACCATTGAGTTTGTTGATTCCTATAAATATTTGGGTGTCTTGGTCGACTCGCATCTCTCTTTTAAGCTCCATGTGGAAAACCGAGTAAAGAAACTGAAAGTTAAACTGGGTTTCTTTTTCAGAAACAGTTCCTGTCTAACTCTGAATGCTAGGAAACGCCTTGTAACTATGACTTCCCTTCCCTCCATTTATTATGGTGACATTATTTACATGAATGCTCCTACAAGCACCTTGCGGATGTTGGATGCTGTCTATCATGGTGCACTAAGATTCATAACTGGTTGTGGTTATCGTACCCACCACTGCAACTGCACCCTGTATTCACTGGTTAACTGGACATCATTAACTTCATGCAGACTCTCCCACTGGTACATTTTCATCTTTAAATCACTTCTTGGTCTGCTGCCTTCATAAAGCTCCTCCTACATGTCTCTGCGTGAGTGCAGCTACAGCGTGCACTCTCAGGACATCATTACCTGCAGTGTTCCCTCAGTGCAGACTGAACTTGGCAAAAGGGCCTTCTCCTACTCTGTTCCTGTTTCCTGGAATTTCTTGCAAAAAGATATGAAGTTCTCGACCTGCACCTCTTTAAGTGGCTTTAAGCATCTGTTGGACTCCTGGCAAGAACCAATGCAGACATGTACCTGTTTTTAGTTTTCTACATTCGCCTTATAATCTAGCTGTTTTTGCTACTTTTTTTGCCATCTTATTTTAATTTGTAAAAAAAAATAATAATAATCTGTACGCCTTTTTACAATTGTCTATTGTTGTCACTGTTGTCCATTGTTGTCATCACTCTTTGTTGAAATTAGGTCTCTCTTGTAAATGAGTCCTCGAGGCTCAATGGGATTAACCTGTCTAAATAAAGGTTGAATGAATGAATATGTTTAAACTAAGAAATTGTTAATTAAAATAAATTAATTTGGAATTTAATGGCATCGCTGCATTTAAAAAAATATGGGACGGACAATAAAAAGCTGCAGGTATAAATAAAATGAAATAAAAAGCAGATGGAGGGTTATTTTGCAATTTGTCTTCTTTCAGCTGTTTCCTCATCAGGGGGCTCCACAGCAAGTCATCTTCCTACATCTCACTTTGTTCTCTGTCCCCATTCTAAGTATCTCTATGTCTTCTCTCTGCATCCATCTATCTCCTCTTTGGCCTTCCTCTGTCGTTTTCCTGGCAGCTGCATTTCTAACATCCTTCTACCAATATACCCACTGTCCCTCCTCTGGACATGTCCAAACTATCCCAGTCTGGCCTCTCCATCTCCCAGTCATTCAACCTTTGCCATACGAGCTCTCCAGCTCCTTCTGTAGGATCCTGAGGAACCCCCACACCAGAAGAGATTTATAATCCCTCTAGCGAATTCTGGGTCTGTCCTGAGATCTTCCCCCAGTGAGATATGCCTGGATAATCTCTGTTTGGAGACATCTTAATGCCTCGACTGACTCATTCAGATGTGTAGGAACAAGTGACATTTTTCTGAGCTTTCCCTGGATAAAAAAAAGCTTCTCACTCAAACTCAAAGGCCGAGCCCTTATGGAGAAAACTCATTTCAGCCACTATTATCTAAGATTTTGTTTGGTCATGACCCATACTTCATATAGTGAGAGTTAGGATGTATGGATGAGTAAACTATGAGTTTTGCCTTTTGGCTCAACTCCTTCATCAGAACAGACAAGGACGATGTCTTCATTTCTGCAGGTGAAGCCCTGATTCATCGAGACATCAGTCCTTGGTCCATCATTGGAAAACATCTGGATCTTGGCTGGAAGCCACCCCATTTGGAAAACCACCTGCAGGAAGTGAAGTCATGGTTGGGTGTGGTGTGAACTGGGTGGCAGGTGAACGCAGAAGCCTGAATGTGCTGATCCCTGACGTCATCAACAGGCTCTATCTTAAATTTAATGCTTCCATTGCAATCTTAATTATGAACATCTCAACGTGTTAATTCAATTTAAGTTCTGGCTACCAAAGGTGACGTTTCAACCACAGCTGATGTCTAAAAGTGTTTCTAATTAGAGATAGACGTTTCATTATGTTACAATGACCTAAAGGACGTAAGTAATGTGGGAGCTTTCCATGATTTCTAAGATCATCTTGTCTTATTTAAAAGGCAAATGCATGCAAACAATCAACAAACAATCAACAAACTTGGATTTTTTTTAAGGCAGGTGATTATGTTTCTCTTTCTCGCTCACTCTGTGTGTGTTTCTGAGTCTGTTTCCAAAAAAATCAACCAGTGGATGAATTTTAATGAAATTCTCAGACAATGATTACAACTGATTTGAAGTCAACCAGATCCATCCAGCTAACTGACCTTAGCAAACTAAAAAAGTACCGGTAGTCACAACTAGGCCTGTCACAATATCAAATTTTGCTGGGCAATTAATTGTCTCAGAAATTATTGTGATAAATGATAATATTGTTTGAAATTTGACAATAATTAGTAATTATTGTCAATTTTAAGATGAAACGTTGGTTAATTTGTTTTGCATGTAGTACTTTTTATTTTACCACCGGATGGCAGTATAAGACTGTTTGAACTTAAGGATGGATAGTGAGGGAGCAAGCAGCGTGTCTCTAAGAACAATGGGAGGGAGGCCCCTTGATGTGACATGGGCTGTCTCTCCTTCCTTCTTTTTTCAGTTCTCAAAATGGCAGACGCTCGGTGTGGTTTGAGCTCTTTAGCATAGCATTTTGTCGCAAAGCTTTTAATAAAAAACTCAGTAAACAAGTTCTCAGCTTCTTTTTGCAGGGAAAAACAACTTTTTACACAAAGGCACGAGTTCAACCGTGGATATTGGAGCTTCAACAAGACAAAGTTTTTTTTTCCTGAGGTCGGCCTGTTAGCTTAGCTCATAGCTTAGCTTCTCAGCTTAGTTGCTTTTAATGATCCAAAAATGCAATTTTGGATCGTTAAATGGATTTTAAATAGACAAGAGAAAGGGAGGGGTCAGTGAAGAGCACCAGAGTTGAGCCTTTTGTCATCCAGTGTCTTCAGAAGAGAGAGACACGAAACGATAAAGCGATAAATGAAAACGAGGTCGATAATTTTCATTTACCATGTGATTAATTGATTTATTGTTTATCACGACAGGGCTAGTCACAACTCAAAAAACTTTACACCGAGCTAAAATTTTACATAGCTGAGTCATTTTTTACACGTTTTAAAAGCAAACAGATCAAGAACTCGCATGTGCATAACGTTATTTCCAAACCTGAACCAAAACGACAAGAAGCTTTATTTCTCAACATAAGATTATTTTAGCTTTAATCTAGGCGAGAAAGGCAACTTTCCTTTAAGGAAAACTACTGATAAGCTTTTATGTTTTTAAGCAAATACTTGGGCTCCGTTTGTTTTCTTCTTTCTACTTTTTTAAACTTAAAAAAAAAAAAAAAAAAAGAATAAACCTGTTGTTGTTTGGAATTTTACTTAACACAAAGACAGAAAGGTGAGAGAAAATAGAAGGAAAGATGAAGCGATTGACTACCAGGTAAGGATAATGTAATGCCTGAGCGGATTGGTTCAGAAGATCACGTGACCGGGCTCTTCCGCTCACCTCCGCGCTCGCGCCTCCTCTTTCTCAACAACTCCGGGCGGTGACGCAGAGGCGCAGACAGTGTCAGGTGTCTTTCAGGTTTCACCGAACGCTCGGCGGAAGTTCCCACAGGTAGGAGCATTTTTCTTCCCAAAACGAATACACGAAAAACATACGGCAATATCTAGCACGAGTAAAGTCAATAAAAGTAGACAAATGTTCTGAATATTGGCGCGAGGCTTTAACAGGTTAGACATGATTGGTAAAGTTGTTAGGGACGCACATGCGCACACGCGGCCCTCGGAAGGAGACGCTGTATTCTGGTCAGTCCAGCTGCTCAGGCTGTACTTTAGGTTTGTTTTGCCGCTATTTTTTGTATGAAACTAACACGTTTACAACAAATACAAGTGTTGTGGTCAAACATACCGCCCAAAGACATGGCTGTCTCCGTGTCAGGTAATGAATGCTGCTTTAAAGCCGCTGCTGGTACACCTGTAATTAGGGATTTTCACATGACATGCTGATCTTTGAGCTGGGATGCTCTTCTCTTTTATTGCATACTTCAGTAATGACTCCAGCTCAGGCTTCACTTATGTTCATCTGAAAACACCGACCTGGGCGTTTGTATTTATTCTTCATTATTCTATCATTAAGCAATTTGGACTCCACCTTTCTTTTATCAAAATGTTCTTTGGTTGTTTGTTTTTGGTCTTTGCAAATAAAAAGGGGGTGAAACCGCCTGTAATGGTTTCAGGTCTTCATTCGGTGTGTGTGTCTCATTCCCTGCTGGAACAGAGACACCATTGTTGTGAAATCCTCGTTTAAATGTTCACCGATTCACTCTTATTATAAGCTTGTACTTCGACAAGTGAGCTAGTGGGATTAAAAATGAAAGCAAAGTGGATTTCAGTTTATCTTGAGACCATTATGTGGCAGAGTTAGGAGAATTATATTTGCTGTTGTGTCACCAAAAACATTAGCTTCATTTATGAACATACTTGCAAAACTGGGCCACAGCTCACCGTCTTTGGACGTGGAGTTATGTGGACTGGTTATGAACAAGTAATATCTTATCTGTTTCAGATAGCTCTTTGAATAACATCTGTTTGAACAAATAATTTAAATTCTGAGTAGACTGATGAGCTGAGAGCTGGTCCGAGCAGGGACGAGACAGACTGCTGCCATCTTAAAACCAATCCAGTCTCGGTTCTTGTGAGCCTTTTTACTACATGATTCCCTGTTTAAGATCTAGGAGATGTAAGTTGCATAACAGTAAAAAGTCCAGGAATGAAGAGACAAACGCATTTTGAATAAAAGTTTTTTTGTTGTTAACAGTTCTAAATATGTCAACCGAAAAGGAAATACAGTAATAAAGTTTGTAGTAGTTTAGTTATTAAACTTAAATCAAATATTTAAGTCCATCCCAAAGATCCAGGCACAGAGTAATATTGTGTATGTTGTTCAGTACCAGGAGTGCTGTGATCCGTCATGTATCAGGGAAACTAAACAGCCACTGGCCAAAAGGATGGTCCAGCACAGAAGAGCAACATCATCTGGCCAGGACTCTGCGGTCTACACTCATCTCCAGGCCAGCGGTCACTCGTTCAGGGATGAAGATGTTCACATCCTGGATAGAGAGGAACGATGGTCTGAGAGAGGAGTAAAGGAGGCCATCTTTGTGAAAAGAAACCGTCCATCATTAAACCGGGGCAGGGGCCTCCTTGTGCAACTGTCCCCCGCTTACAATGCTGTTATTGCTAGTATCACTTAGCTCCCTGTGAATAGCAAGCGACCATTTCGGATGAAAGACGAAACGTTTCTACAATTTTTTTTTTGTTTTGTTTTGTTTTGTTTTTTGAACCCATCCAGAGAACCCGAGTAAACTTTTTTTTAGATTAAATCAAAGAGTTCAGTATTTGCTATTGCTTGTCCAAGCTCGTATGTAAACCTATACATTGTTCTAATTTTGCATTACATGGTTGCTCAATGGACTGGCAGGGCAGCGCAGTTTTTAGAGTTGGTTAAAACAAGCGAGACCAAAACGGATCAACTTCATTCTCAATAATTCAACAGTTCATGCAAACTCTATTTTACATGAACATTTGATTTCTCTTAGTTTCGTGGTAACTTACATATGATATATATGGGGAGTGGTGGCGCAGAGGTTAGAGAAGGCGAGCCTGTGATCTTTGGTTCGATTCCCTGGACTGACGTCAAAATGTGGATGGGAAAGGTGAAGCACCCACACCTGCCTCCACCTTCATTTACCCCACTCTCTGGGCTATTGAGCAAGGCCCTTAACCCCCACCATCTGCTCCTTCAGGCACCATAGATAGCAGCTCTCTGCTCCACACAGAGGGCTGTGGTAGCTCGGTGGTCTGTGGTTGCGTCAGGAAGGGCATCTGGCGTCAAAACAATCGTCAAGTGTGATTGTTGAAGTTAACTTTAAAACATATGCAGTCATTCAACCCCTAATATACAGTTGACCATTTAAACGAACTATTATGATATTCCTGCCAGAAATCTTTCATGTTGCATTGGAAGTGCTACAGCTAACTGCTGCTGCTATTTGTGCTTGTAAATAAACATAATTATATAAATAACCATTTAGTACAAATTTGATGCAATGTAGATGTTTATAAAATAGTGTTGGCTCTAAGCACTTTCGTTGTCTTAGGTAGAAGTTTTAAAATTGCAGCAAACCACTTTGGCCGTACCTCACGCTGACTAGCTGTGAGCTCATCAGTCTGATCAGAGTTAAACCATTTCTATAAACTGAGCTACTGCATCTACAGCAGGTAAGACATTAATAGTTTATAACCTTACCACTAAACGCTTTGTCAAAATATCTGAACTATTCCCTTTAAAGTATATTGTGTCCCCACTTTGTTTGACACTGCTGTCTAATAATAAACTGATGACAGGTGATTTTTTTTTTCATCCCTTCTGCTGTTCTAGCAGGAAGGACAGGTTTACATTGCATCTTTTGTCGCCTTTAAAAAAAGCTCTTTAAGTTTCAGGTTGTGTGTCCATCCTTGATTCCTGCAACAATCTTAACATTTAGATACAGGCAGGGAGAAGACTCCTGACTCGGTGGGTCAAGTTGACAGGTGTCCTGTGCAGGGTGTGTCTCTTCCTTTGCATGTAGGAAATGCCCCTGGCCTAACATCAGGTAAACATGTATGGTTTACTAACAAGTGGGTATCGGATGCACCTGTTCAGCACAAGGGACAAATAATATGCAGGTTCTTAAAAACGACCTGACACAGTGAACTGGTTGGTTCACAGTAGAACATCCTGCTTGACAGAGTCATGTTCGTAATTACGGTAAATTCCTTAAAATATGTTGAATCTATTTAAAGTATGTGAGCATTAGATCTTCAAACCCAAACTCTAAAGTGTTGATGGAAGTAAACGCAAAATTGACATGGATTTAGATTATATAATTGTTTGTATTTGTCAGTACTACTAACGTTTAGTGTAAATAAAAAATAAAAAAAACACTCACGGGGGGTTGTTTTCTGAGCGTTTTCAGTCGGGGCGATGTTGAAGTTTAGTCCAAAGTCCAGATACTTGTTGCTAGTATATTTTTGCATCTGTGTGATGATGTAATCCTGAAGGTGTGCCAGATTGAAAAGGCCTTCATCCTGAGATAAGCTGTCATTATTGATGTCTGTAGTCAGCAGTGATTTAGAGCAAAGTTTATTTTTTTAATATGGCTCCTCTGTTTTTTGAAGTAGGGACGAGACTCATTTAACGTCTCGATTCTTTCAGACATGATGTTTTTCATAGGTTTGTCACTTGGAACACCTAACAAGAAGACGTATGATGTTTGTAATGAACAGTTGTTGATTCACATCCTCTATGAAGTTGATGAATTAGCCTTGTCATGAGAACGTAACACAGATCTGCTTAGCTGTTTCCAGACTGCGTTTCCATTTTGCAATCATGCGTCAGAAGCTGCAGTGCAAGTTTGGACTTGTTGCCGTGTCTGTTTGCATACGTAACTGTATGAGTGCAAATATGTGTATTCAGTCTTCATGGGTACCTCACGCCAGAAAAGCTCGTTACAAACCTGCTAATCAATAATGGTAGACAGAAGATGGATCCTCTTTATATAGATTGACATGGACATGAAGTTGCTGAGACAAATTTCTGTCTTGTTCTTATCTTTAAATAAGAGTCTTGTCTTATGTTTCCATAAAGCATTTTAGTATGATGGGATGTAGCAATTAAATTAGATGGATAGACTGCAGACATAAAATCAAGAGGAAGGATAAATATTTTAATTTACCGCTGTAGGTGGAAATGCTGTTTTTTTATGAAGCATTTGTTCACCTTGATCCTTTAAATTAAAGGGCTGTTGTGCATTATCAAAAGTATTGTTTTAAAATTTAATTAAGCATCACCATATGCATGACCAGGCGCTAGTTTGTTTCTACTCTTTTTAATGCATGTTGTAACCAGCAACACAGTTTACTTTAAACCGAAGGAAGCATTATATCAGATGTAGAATATTACATTATATTCATTTGTCGTTGAATACATTTTGGCTTTGTTTGTTGTTTTAGGTTCTCAGGTCATTGGCAGACATGGAAAGCGGTCCATTTGTTCGAAAGTCCTGGGTGACGCAGTCCTTGCGTGTCACAGCCAGGGAGATGTCACTGGTTGGAGGGCGTGGGAAAAGCAACGCCATCGCAGAACGCTTCTCCAAGTGAGTAACAACTGGTTTTCAGCAACGTTTGCTGATCGTTTTTACTTTTGAACAACGCTTGACGTTAACAAATGGTGTAAAAACACACTTCCGTTTGTTTACCTCTTAGATCAGGGAATCAAACGCCCAGCTTCATTGTAATCCAGTCTCAAGTGACACAGTCAGTGGAATTAGCTCATCGTGTTGCTCAATAAGAAGGCTAACTCGTATTGTGTGAGCCAAAATAAGCATCAACATTTCTATGGATTCAAACACTGTAGCAACATGTTCACTAGTAGACGTTGGACAGTATTATGTCTGTGACTGATTTAATGAAAAGCAAGCTGGCAGAAGAGCAAACAAGATTTTATTACTGCAGATTTTAACACGTTGACTGAACACAGCAGCCATATTTGTTTTTAAGGTTAGCAAGAATACTCTGACTTTCCACATTAGAGCAATTTCAGGAGACATTCAAGTTGATTTGACTGATTTACAACTCAAACATCTGACTTTAAAATACAAGTAAAACACAAATTATATTCACAAATCCACCATATGGAACAATTCTGAATAGTGCTGTTGCTGATGGCAGCAACATAAAGATAAAAGCTGCTACTTACGCTGCAAGAACCAAGAATGTTGTTCTCTGTCCCAGTTTTTTTCTCGCAGCCCTGGTTTGGAGTTCTTGCAGCTCGTTCTCAAACCTCACCTGGGCAATTTTTTTTCTTGTGGTGTCCAACAACTTTTCTGTGATTACCGTATTTTCCGGAGTATAAGTCGCATCAGTCAAAAAAAAGCATCACGAAGAGGAAAATAAACATGTATAAGTCGCTTCGGCGTGTAAGTCGCGTTTATTCTGCGTCACCGCTGACCCGTCAAGTTTATTATGTGTTTATTTAATGGTCAAAACGGCTTCACTTCGCCTGGGCGGCGCAGCGCCATCCATCCATCGCGACCGGAGCCCCTAGCTCTCCAGCGTTTCTCTGCCTGCACCAGCTGAGTGAAGCGAGCACGCACGGGAGGACTCGCTGTTGCAGTTCTTGGAAATTTAACAAGATTTACACTTAAAACAATTATTTGTTTGCTCTGAATTATAGCAAAGCCTGTGTCTCAGTTTAACTTTTCTTTAATAAATGCACTTTAATGGTCAAAACAGCTTCATTTCGCCGGGGTGGCATGGCGCCATCCATCCATCCATCCATCCATCCATCCATCCATCCATCCATCC